CCCCCAAGTGAGCACAGTGGGGCAGGGCTCGGCCCCCAAGTGAGCACAGTGGGGCAGGGCTCGGCCCCCAAGTGAGCACAGTGGGGCAGGGCTCGGCCCCCCGCAACCCTGCTGGCCTTGCATGCAGTGTACCACTTCAGCGGCTGGCCTGTGGCACAGGTAGCAGGAAGGAATGCCCAGGACCCCTGCAGCATCTGGGGATGGGGGAGTCGGCCCCCTGCCCCGTCTCCTGCTGGCTGCGTAGGAGATGAGGACTGAAGAGGAGGGGGGGTTTCAGAGCGTCGGTGAGCCCCCGCCCACCGTCTCCCTGGCCCAGTGGGCGAGGCCCAGCTGCTGCCGGGCTCGGGTTTCAGTGCTACCGGATATACCGCGGAGATGGCCCTGCCTTCCGGCTGCTGGAGCCGCTGGCCGGGAAGCTGGGGAAGTGAGCCGGCTTAGCCGCCCCACCCGGGGTTGTGAGCACGCCCTCAGGACCCTCGGGGCCTGGGCTCCATTGCTGGGTGACCCAAGGCGTGTCAGGGCCCCTCCCTGCACCTCGGTCTCCCCATCTGTCACCTGGAGGGAGATGCCAAGGGAGACAGTGACCCTCAAAGCATCCACCACCCTGCGGGTTGGGCTGGGCATCAAGGGCCCTCTCACCAGCCGTGGTTCCCCCACGCCCAGGCCCGGTGAGTCCCCTCAGTGCCGGCTGTGGGGCTGGAAGGCAGCTCAGGAAGGGCCGTGGCTTTTTCCTTTTACAAAAATAAATTCACATGGCAGAAGCTGGCGTGGAAGTGACGTGGTCTGGACGTCATTCCATCCCGCAGGACCTGTCCATTCTGGGCAAGGGGTCCTGGGATCCTGTCTAGGCCTGGGGGAGCCCGCTGGGACACCAGGCTCTCTCCCCAGACGGCAGTGCCCTGAGTCGGCTGGTCCTGCACCCTTGAGGGGGCAGCCAGCCCTCTGCTCACTGTGTGTGGATGCAGGCAAGGGTGGGAGGGGGCAGGCATGCAATGTGGGCCTGTCTGCCCAGCTGCCCGCAGCTCCTCTTGAAAGACTTCCTAAGGGAACAATGGCAAACAGCCCAGGGTAGGGCTGGACCTAGGGCAGGGGTGCAGCTGGGCCTGGGGGTCCTGGTGCCCAGAGCAGAGAGGCCTCAAGATGCGGCTGGAGCGCCCCCTGGGTCCAGAACAGCCCTGTGTCTGGCCTCAGGCAGGACTGGCCTGGTATCTGCATCTGTGAAATGGGTCAATTACAGGGCTTTGTTGTGAGAGAGAGAGGTTACTGCCCCCGGAGTTACCGACGATGTCACGTGCTGTGCCCAAGGCCACGTGGCCAGGGCAGGGCCGGGATTCCTCTCCAGACACCCTGCTGCGGCCTGCCCAGACCCCGGTGTCGCCTGGCGCTGGCAGCACCTGGCCCATCCAAGCTGGCGAGCTCCTCCCTGGGGTCCCGGCAAGACCTTCCTTTCCCGGCGCCTGCTCTTGGGGCCCCAGCTCAGGGTTGAGTCCCAAAATAGTGCAGGGAAGACTGACGGGACAGCTGGGATTGACTGTCCTGTGGCCAGTGGCCGGGAAATGCCCGTGACGGTGCGGCCACCCAGCGGGGCCATCACCCAGCCTGGCCCCGGGCCCACCCAGTTCAAAGGCCCAGGCCGCCTGCCTGGCTCCCACGGTGTCCCCTTGCACCCCTGGGCCTCACTGCCTCCCCTCCCCAGGTGCAACTATGGCTGGCAGGGGAAGCTCTGTGACGAGTGCCTGCCCTACCCCGGCTGCGTGCACGGCAGCTGCGTGGAGCCCTGGCAGTGCACCTGTGAGACCAACTGGGGCGGCCTGCTCTGTGACAAAGGTGGGTGGCAGGGCGGGGGGGGGCAGCGGGGCCTGACCCTGCCCGCCCTCCGCTGCCAGACCTCAACTACTGTGGCAGCCACCATCCCTGCACGAACGGGGGCACCTGCATCAACGCGGAGCCGGACCGGTACCGCTGCGCCTGCCCTGACGGCTACTCGGGCAAGAACTGCGAGCGGGGTGCGCGCTCGGCCGGCGGGGGTCTGCACCGCGGGGCTAGGCCAGGCACGGTGGAGGGTTGGGGCCGGGGGCGGGGTTGCATCCACCTGCTCCCACCCCCCTCCCCCCCGGTTCTCCCACCCACCGTCCCGCTCTGGTCCTCTAGCTGAGCATGCCTGCGCCTCCAACCCCTGTGCCAACGGGGGCTCTTGCCATGAGGTGCCGTCTGGCTTCGAGTGCCACTGCCCCCGGGGCTGGAGCGGGCCTACCTGTGCGCTCGGTGAGTGCCCTGCGCGCGCCTCAGAGGGAAGGCGGGTAGCCAGGGAGGGCGGTTTAGGGGGCAGTGGGGTGTCCCTGCAGAAAGGGGCCTAAGAACATTGTTGTCCTGGGACAAGGAGTGAGTGGTGGAAGACACAAGGACCCTCCGTACCCGCACCCACCCCTACAAGTGCCACAGGTCACGCCACAGGAACCTAGACCTCTGTCCTACGAGGTTGCCAGGCCTGCCCCACCTTGCCCCGACCCGGAGAACCTCTTGGCCTTTTACAGGCTTGCTCAGGGCTTGGCCCGCTGAGTAGCCCGGCCCCCACGTGGCCCCGCCTCCGCATAGGCTGCGCCCCCTCAACCTGCGATCCGTCCTCCGTGGTGCCCGCCCCCCACGCGGCTCCGCCTCCCCACGCGGCTCCGCCTCCCCACGCGGCTCCGCCTCCCCACGCGGCCACGCTTTTACAGAAGCTATCTCCGCCTAAGATGCAATCCATTCTCTGTGGCCTTCTCTAGCTCCACATGGCCTCACCCCGCAACGTGGCCAGGCGGCCCCACTTCCACGCAGCCGGCCTGCTCCACATAGCCCTGCCCCAACGCGGGTGCTCCCGCACCTCTCTCTTCCTCCTTTGCAGACATTGACGAGTGCGCCTCGAACCCGTGTGCGGCGGGCGGCACCTGCGTGGACCAGGTGAACGGCTTTGAGTGCATCTGTCCTGAGCAGTGGGTGGGGACCACGTGCCAGCTGGGTAAGGACCTCCGGGGGTCACTGCGTGCATGCGCTGTGAGCATGCAAGGCTGTGCAGCAGAGCTGCTGGTGCTACTGCGGTGTTGGGCTGCGGGGCTGCGGTGTTGGGGCGCCGCGGGCAGGCCGGCCCAGCCGCTCTCCCTTGTCTTGTCCGCAGACGCCAATGAGTGCGAAGGGAAGCCGTGCCTTAACGCTTTTTCTTGCAAAAACCTGATTGGTGGCTATTACTGTGATTGCATCCCGGGCTGGAAGGGCGCCAACTGCCACATCAGTCAGTATGGGGTGGGGTGCAGGGGGCAGGGCCGGGGCACCAAGGCCCTCCCGTGACCCCACCTCTCTGTTCCCAGATATCAACGACTGTCGCGGGCAGTGTCAGCACGGGGGAACCTGCAAGGTGAGGCAGGCCGGCCAGCTGGGGGCAGGTGGGGTCGGTCGGGTGCCTGAGCCTCATCCAGCCCACCTACCACAGGACCTGGTGCGCGGGTACCAGTGTGTGTGCCCTCGGGGCTTTGGCGGCCGGCACTGTGAGCTGGAGCGTGATGAGTGTGCCAGCAGCCCATGCCGCAGCGGCGGCCTCTGTGAGGACCTGGTGGGTGGCTTCCGCTGCCACTGCCCCAAGGGCCTGTCTGGGCCCCTCTGCGAGGTGAGGGACACCGGGACCAAGAGACAGGTTGTGCGGGGGCACTGGGGGACTGGGGGTGGGGCGATCTCGTCCGGGATGGGGACAAGGGCCTGAGTTTCCGTGTCTGGCTGGGCAGGGCCGGGAGGCAGGGGTCGGCGTCCCTGGGCAGGGTACCTCTTGTTTGTCATGCCGGGCCTCTTCCTCACGGGCTGGCGAGGACCCCTGAAGACTCCACCAGCTGCCCAGAGGCCCGGAAGCCTCACTTTTCCCAGGTGGGCCCTTGTCCACTCCCCACCCTCAGGCCCTAGAGGACGGCCCTGAGGGGCAAGGCCTGAGGAGGCCTGGAGAGGGTCAGGTTGGATGCTGCTGTGCAGGGAGGGCCAGGGGGCCTGTGGGTGGGAGGGGGCTGCCGCCCAGCAGCTTCCCGGCACTCTGCGGCAGAGTCCAGTCTCAGGCCTCGGAGCCTTTGGCTGGCTCGGAGGCTGTGGTGGAGGGGGCGTTGGGAGCTGGCCTTCCTGTCTGCGGGGGACGAGGGCCGGATGCCGCCCCGCTGAGGCAAAGGAAGCACGGCTGCCCTGGAGGCGTGGGTGGCGGGAGGAGGCCTGGGGGCCACAGGTGTTTCCGGCTAGCTGACCTCGCCTGGCCATCTTCGCTGGATGGGTCCGAAGGGCATGGCTGTCCACACTGGGCGGGTCCGAAGGGCATGGCTGTCCATACTGGGCAGGTCCAGGCCTTGGGAGTTCCCGGGGACCTGCCCTTGCCTGGCGTGGAGGCCAGCCCATCTCTGGAGCCCCAGGCTGGGTGCTCACCGATGCCACACCCCGCAGGTGGACACAGACATGTGCGAGCCCAGCCCCTGCCAGAACGGCGCCCGCTGCTACAACCTGGAGGGAGATTACTACTGCGCCTGCCCCGACGAGTTTGGCGGCAAGAACTGCTCTGTCCCCCGGGAGCCGTGCCCGGGTGGGGCCTGCCGAGGTGGGCACGGCAGCCAGGCAGGGTGCGGGGGGCCGGCGGGGCGAGCCGGGCCTGACCCTGCTCGCCCATCTGTCGCAGTGATCGACAGCTGTGGGTTGGAGGCCGGGCCCCGGGTGCCCGGCACTGTGCCTCCTGGTGTGTGCGGCCCCCACGGGCACTGCGTCAGCCAGCCAGGTGGCAACTTCTCCTGTGTCTGCGACAGTGGCTTCACGGGCACCTACTGCCACGAGAGTGAGTGGGCCCTGGGTGGGGCCGTGGGTGGGGCCTGTGGGTGGGGCCTG